GCCCCCGGGAAGCATCTTGTCCTCTGGGCCTCAGAATCCCTGGCCCAGGGCGGCCTGGGAGGAGCAGAGGCCTGAGTCACCGCCAGTCCCGCGCCCACGCCCCCAGATCTCTGCCCAACCTGTCCTGCAGGTGCGCCTGGCTCCCGGCCAGCGGGCCAGACGCAGCACTTACGGGAAGGAAGGATGTAAACAGAGGGCAAGGGGCGGGCGGAGGACAAAGGCACCCGGGTCTCTGCTCGGCCCTCACTCAGCCCGGGGTGCTGGGGCCGGACTGCCTTGCCAAGGGGCTCCTCGCGAGCCTCGGGGGTCCCCACTGCCCCACGGACCCCCTTGCCCTCCCCTGGGGCTGTCCCCGGGGCAGGTGCTAAGTCACTGGCCAGAGGTGGCCCTGGGGCTGCTCAGCGGAGAGGAGGGGCCGTCGGTCTGTTTCCGCATGGGACGAGGTAGAGGGCAGGAGATGGGGGGGCGTCTGAAAGGGTCTCAGCAGACTTGTAGGGAGAGAAAGTGGGGCCGCCTCCACCGCCTGGTGGGGCCGCTGCAGGTAAGATACCCAGGAAGCTCAAACACTGCCACGGTGGGCAACGGTGCTGGGACCTCCGAGGGCCTACCTCCCCCTGCCCCCATCCCAGCGGGAGGGCAGACCCTGGGCCAGAGGAGTGCTCTCAGACCCCGTGCAGCAGATGCTGACAAGGGCAGGGTGGGGGTGGGTGGGCTGGGGGCAGAGCAAACAGGCCGCTGGAGGCCTGGAGCGGGAGACAGCTGGGAGGCCAGCAAGCCTGGCACCTGCAGCCCCAGGGGCTTCGAGGGTGCTCTGTATGAGGAGCTTTGGACGGTCTGAGCAGAGAGTCCACAGCTGAACTCAGAGTTCCCTAGACCACTCAGGGTGTGGGTTAGGGATACATTATATACTCATATGTGATGACGTATTCCTATCTATAGCACACTACATTAATATATCATTATTACATGTTAGTTATTAGTTTTAAATTTTCTCAAATTGTGGTATAATATACACAGCATAGGGCTTCCCCATGGCCTAACGGCAAAGACTCTGCCTGCGGTGCAGGATCTGCAAGAGATACGGGTTCGATCCCTGGGTCAGGACGGTCCCGTGAAGGAAGGTCCCCTGGAGGAGGGCATGGCAACCTACTCCAGTATTCTTGCCTGGAGAATCCCATGGACACAGGGGCCTGGCGGGCTCCAGTCCATGGGGTCAACCGGGTCGGACACGACTGAAGCGACTTAGCACACACACACATACCTGGCACAAAATTCACCGTTTTCACCACTTTCAGTGGCAGTAAGTGCACTCACATTGTTGTCCAGCCGCGGCCACCATCGTCTCCGGGACAGCCCCTCTCCTAGGCCGAAGCTCTGCCCCAACAGACACTGACACCCACTCCCCTGCCCCGAGACCCCCGTCCCGCTTTCTGTCCCGCTAACTGGCTCCTGCAGGGGCCTCACATGGAAGGAACTGTTGAGGTTCGTCCTGTGTCTGCTCACTCCCCTGAGCTAGTTTCTTGTTCTCTGTCATGAGGGGGTATCGACACGGCCTTGACCCCCTTGGGGTCATCCTGGGAAGACCAGAGCAGGTGACAGACAAGCAGAAGATCTGAAAACAGTGAAATCCAGTTTGAAGGTCAGGCGGCAGGACGCTCAGCGGCAGGCGGGGGTGCGCTTGCCCTAGCCGAGGGGTCCTGAGCTTCCTTCCAGACCCGAAGGGACAGCAGGCGGTCACCACGACCTGGGCGACTGCTGTCCCGGGCCCAGCAGTCTGCAGCTGCATGCAAAAGGCCCTTGGGTCCTGCTGCCCTCGGCTGGGGCGGGGGTCCTGGTGTGGAGTCCCTGTGATCATCCTGCTGCCGCTCACCACACACCTGCCCACCACAGGGCAGGGGGCGGGGCCTGCCCACGTGGGGCAGTGGGACACGGCCCCTCTGCTCAGCCCCAAGGCTGCTGGCCACCTCAGTGCCAACCCAGGGGGACCCCCGTGAGCAACTGCCTTCAGCAGTCACTCCCCTCGACGGCTCCTGGATACGACGTCAGGACAGGGCGTCCCCGAGGAGCCTGGGAAGCCCAGAGGAGAGCCTAACCCAGCCTGGACAACAGCGGAGGCAGTCAGGGAAGGCTCCTAGGAGCAAAGATTGCCTCACCTTCTGCTCAATAACAAAAGCAAAAGAGGCTCAAGGGCAGATGCCGCGCACCATGTGGCTGACAAGCTTGTGCACAAAGTCGCTTCAGTCGCGTCCAACCCTGAGCAACACTATGGACTGCACCTGCCAGGGGCCTCTGTCCACAGGATTCCCCAGACCAGAACACTGCAGTGGATTCCAGGCCCTCCTCCAGGGCGCCCTCCTGGGCCTGGGATCCCACCCCCCTCTCTTACCTCCCTGGCAGGCAGGTTCTTTACCACTAGTGCACCTGGAGGCCCCTCTGGTATGCTTGACATCAATTAGTCAGCTTGCTAGTTCCATGAGGTTGGTATGCTTGACATCAATTAGTCAGCTTGCTACTTCCATGAGGTTGGTATGCTTGACATCAATTAGTCAGCTTGCTACTTCCATGAGGTTGGGACCTTTAGCGTCTTCACTTAGCAGAGGAAGCTAAGGCTCCGGGAGGCTCAGACACTCACTTGAGACCACACAGCCCTCAGGCAGCAGTGCTGGGATCAGAGCCCACACCGCCAGCATCCATGACCCCGCACCCAGGCTGCCTCCCGAAGGCCGGGGTCTCCCGAGCTGTGGCAAGCACCTTGCTGCAGCGACTCACGGCCGATTACCAGGAGACTGAGATGGGATGTGGACAAACGATTCTAAGTTCCTGCTGCTGCTAAGTCGCTCAGTCGTGTCCGACTCTGTGCGACCCCACAGATGGCAGCCCACCAGGCTCCTCCGTCCCTGGGATTCTCCAGGCAAGAACACTGGAGTGGGCTGCCATTTCCTTCTCCAATGCCTGAAGGTGAAAAGTGAGAGTGAAGTTGCTCAGTCGCGTCTGACTCTTTGCGACCCCATGGACTGCAGCCCACCAGGCTCCACAGGATTTTCCAGGCGAGAGGACTGGAGTGGGGTGCCATTGCCTGCTCCCTTCTAAGTTCCAAGAGATGCGAATTCAGGTTCCTCTTCTCCAGGAAAACGGTAACCAGCACAGCAAACCCTGCATGTCACAAAGATGAAAGATTTCCTTTTTAATTATTTTAAGTAAAAAGGAAGTCTTTTTGTAAGGTCTCAATCCACATCTAATTAAACTCTTTCAAGGGTCACTTAAAAATGCTATCAACTGTGTTTTTTTGTTTGTTTTTAACTGTGGAAAAATATACAAAAAATGAAACCAACCATTTTAAAGTGTACTGCTGCTGCTGCTAAGTCACTTCAGTCGTGTCCGACTCTGTGTGACCCCATAGACGGCAGCCCACCAGGCTCCTCTGTCCCTGGGATTCTCCAGGCAAGAACACTGGAGTGGGTTGCCATTTCCTTCTCCATTAAAGTATACAGCTCAGTGGTATTAAGTACCTTCACATCATTGTACAGCCATCACCACCAGCATCTCTGGAACCAACACCCTGTCCCAGCAACTCTCCCCCACCCCACCCCCCTGCCCCACCCTTCACCTCTGCCTCTATGAGCTTGGCTCCTCCAGGGACCTCGTATGGGTGGAACCCTTCACGTTTCCATTTTGTGTCTGGCTTGTTTCACTGATAACGTCAAGGGGAGCCTATTTACAGGGGAAAACACTAGGATAAGTCACAGCTGAGGACGTCTGCCTGTGTGGCCACGGCTCGGGGCTGACTAAAGTAGGAAATCGTCAGATGGGGACCGCAGAGGCCCTGCTCACCCCTTCTGCAGGACATGCCCAGAACTGGACCTGCTTTGCCAGAAAACATGCTGGAACAGGACGCAGAAGACGCAGGGAAGAGGGGCAAGGAGCCACCCAGGGAATTGGCTCCCAGACCCCAGTGTGGGGCTGCGGCCCCTGCGAAGGCCCGGGGGCAGCTGACCGAGGATGCATCTGTGGGCGCCCCCTCCAAGGGCTCACTTTCTCCCCCCGGTCTGACAGGGCAGCACCCAAGCCTCGGCTCCAAGGGGCTTGGGCCCAACACGGCTAAGACACAGAAACCAGTGGCTGGTGCCCTGTATCAAAGGATCTGAGCCAGAGGAGATGAGCTCAGGGCAGGATCTATGAGACGAAGACTGAGGCCGGGATGCCCCCGGGCTGGCCTGGGTGCGAACAGAGAAGGCATTTCCAGGAGGGGGGCCTCCCCACCAGGGAGGGGGTGGGCAGCATCCAGGCTCCCGGCCAGCATGGACTGAGTCCTGGCCCCACCACCCAGTGGACCAGAAACGTCTGGAGGTGACGGTTCGTACATATTCTATATAAAGATTCATAACCTAAGTATACATGTAATATATGATGAGTGTGTATATGTGATGTATATACAGTGTATGTGTATACACATATCATTCATTAAATGTATATGTATATACATCTTTAAGTCCAGAATCTTGTATTTTTCTAACATCTAATTTGCATTTTCTTTGCTAGAGGGGGAACTTTTACCAATTTTTACGGTCAGTACATCTATTTCTGAAGAAAAAATATTTACACAAGAGCCACAAGTGTCTTGAAAAGCAGTCCCCTTTTAAAATTCTCAACAATCACAAGGAATCTTCTTTTGAAAAAGGACATAATTCTAATGTGAATGGAGTCACCATGGGGAAAAAAGAGCTCCAGCCAAACTCTTTTCTGAGAAACATTGCCTAGGGGGCAACATCTCCGAAGGAGAAGAATTCTATTTTTTCCCAGTTGAGAACTTTCTGTTTCAAGTTGCTCATGACATGCTGAAGTTGAAGCTCCAATACTTTGGCTATCTAATGTGAAGAGCCGACTCAGTGGAAAAAGACCCTGATGCTGGGAAAGATTGAAGGCAGGTTGGACAGCATCACCAACTCAGTGGACATGAGTTTGAGCAAACTCAGGAAGATGGTGAAGGACAGGGAAGCCTGGCGTGCTGCAGTCCATGGGGTCGCAAAGAGTCGGACACGCCTGAGCAACTGAACAGCACCAGCAATGCAGTTTCAATGTGTTACTTCAATTCCTGGGTCCGCTCTGGGGTGGGAAGCCCATTCTGTGTCAGACCTAAAGGGGACAGAGAGGGGGCTGAGGTCTTAGGTGGTAAAACATATTCTAAAATATACATCTTCCATCTTGGTTCGGCGGCAAACCTGTCCTTTTCAGACAAGGTGAGATGAGTGAACGTCCAACCGAGCTCACCTGAAATGCAGGCTGAGCTTTGCCATCATGAAGTTGCCGTGGCGGGCGTCCCTTCACAAACAGACCAGTGGGTGCGCTGCTCCTGAGCGCAGTGGCAGAGAATGAAGCAGAGGTCACCGCACGGCCAGCTCCAGCCCTGCGCACCCTGCATCCCCCGCCCTGAGGACGTGCCCCCAGCTGCCCCAGGAAGGCTCTGCTCTGGGCGGGCTGGCCAGGCGTGCTGCTCTCGGGGTGAGGTCATCCTCTCCCTGGGAGGCCAGGCCCCGCGGCGAAACCCGCCGGGCCTGCACCTCGGGGCTGACGTCACCCACCCCGCAGGGCTGCTGCCCGCCAGGCCACCAGTGGGCTCGAGCAAAGGGCACATTCCTGGCTGCAGTCCCCTCCCTCACCATCTGGTGGAAAGCCCCGGCCGGCCCTGGGGCGCTGGTGCGGCAGGAAGGGCGGCGGTCCAGGGAGAGGGGCTCCGGCGGGTACTGGGTGGGGGGGGGCGCTGTGACTCTGCAGGTGTGGACACCCAGAACACGCTGTGTGAACAGCCCCAAACTGGGGGCCGCCCACCTCGGCCCTGGCTCCCCCATACACACCCCGGGCCCCGCGGGGGCCCTAGCCCGTTTCCCGAGTGAGGATGGCCCCTCCTCTCAGACTCTCAGCCCCTACCCTGTGCTGGCTGCTCTTGGGGAGAATCTATTTCATCTTCAGGACAGGCCCCGGTGATGGACAGGAGCGGGAGCCACACCTGTGAGATGGGAAGGCGGGGTAGGAAGCCAGGAGTACCCACCCAGGACCCCCACCCAGTCCCAGGACCTCCAAACCAGCATTGTGCCCCCATCCCTCCTTGGGTCCCCCCACGCAGCGTCCCGTACCTTCCACCCTCTGACTTTTCACACCCTTTCCTCGCAAACCCCAGGCCCTGTAGGTCCTCAGGGAGAAAGGTCTGTGATGAACTGACTCACACACTCATCCCGTCCAGCCCAGAACAAAAACGAAAATCGGTCAGGAGCAGAGAGGCCAACCTTCTACCTGCTGATCAGAGCTAAAGGTCAGAGGTCACCAATCGGGGATCAAAGGTGACAGCTAGCGGCCATTAATTTCTTTAGGAAGTTTGAGGTGGGAATTCACGTGGGGGACAGATCACGTCCTGCGCGTCTGCTGTGCGGCGGGCAGGGGGCGGAAGGGACGGGTGCTGCCCTCGTGGCGCTCAAGTCGTCACAGAGACAGACGTCAGCAACCAGAGCTGACTGCTCAGCTGGGTGACGGGTCCTCACGGAGCAGAGAGCGAGTGAGCAAGCTGGCGGGGCTGGGGAACCTGCTGCGATCTAACTAGGAGATCAGAGGAGGCTTGACTTCTAAATGGAGGTGCGGCTGACTGCCTGGCTATGGCGGGTCAGGCGGACTTCAGGGGGAGCAGCGTCCATTCAATGCCCAGGGCAGTGAGGAGGCTGGGGGCAGACCACAGAGCAATCGGGGTGACCCAAGGCGGGGGGCCCCAGCTTTCCCTCCGAGGGAGAAGGAAGTGCAGAGGGTCTGGGGGACTGCCGGAACCACGGGGCGGGGGAGGAGCAGTTACTGGCGACAAGCGGGCAGGTCGGGCCACGGAGGTGGTGACGGGGTCAGATTCAGGATGGGATTTAGACAGCCCGCCCACAGGAAGGACATGCTTCCGGATAGAACAGGAAGCGAGAAAAGGGAGGAATCAAGGCTTGAAGAACTGACCGGAAGGCAGACGTTGCCGTCTGGGGCAGGAGGAGGTTGCTGGGACACTGGGAGTCGGGGTTGCTGGTGGACAGGCTGTGGAGTGGCCGGACCCTCCGGGCTGGACCTCAGGGCCGGTCAGCGCTCCCATGCCGTCTTACCACCGAGAGCCAAGTGAGGTCACAGCGAGGGGCGTGAGGGCACGCCCGACTCTGCCTCTGCACTCAGCCGGGGAGGACCTGAGGAGGGGCAGGCTCAGGGTGGCCGGGAGGCCAGGAGGGAGGGTCTCAAAGTGCCAGGTGAGGGCAGGCCTGGCATGCTTTCCCAGAGCAGAGACAGCTGAGCCCTGAGACCAACCACGGCTCCTGCTGATGGGGGCCCAGGCGACCACGGGAACCCTAGGGAGTCCTGGAAGGGAATGGGGCGAGAGACAGCATGTGGGTTCTCTTAAAACTCTTTGCGACTCTGTGAGCTGCAGCCTGCCAGGCCGCTCTGTCCATGGTATCCTCCAAGCAAGAATACTGGAGTGGGTAGCTGTTCCCTTCTCCAGGGGATCTTCCCCACCCTGGGATCAAACCTGGGTCTCATGCGTTGCAGGCAGATTCTTTACCAACCGAGCCACCAGGGAAGCCCTTCTCTAAAATGGAAGAAGTTAAAGCAGTTAATAGAAGAGAAGTGTATGCCCTTGGGGTTAAGAAAGTAAAAGGGGCAACATCTAGGGTGAGGGAGGGGCCTGCAGCACCAGGAGGGGAGAAGCCGGCGGCGATGGGTGAATGTTGGGGACTGGTGGACACTGTGGTCTGAGGGCTGAGAGGTCTCCTCTGATTCTTCCTTTTCTCGGGCAAACAGGGAGCAAGGTCCTGGAGCGGGCGTGAGGAGGGGAGGGGTGAGGGCAGGGGCGACTGATCCTCTAAGAGCCCAGGACGGGGAGAGGCAGCCCCCAGGCCACCTGAGATTCACAATCCGGAATTGAAACCAGTTGCTCAATTTCAGTTCATTGACATTTTAGGCTTGTAAGTCTTGCTTGGGGCCGGGCAGCTATCCTGTATATTATGGAGTCTTAGCATCCCTGGCCTCTGCCCCACTTCCAAGCCATGAGCACTTGGCTGATGAAACGTTATCTAAGCTCTCCTGCGTTTGAAGCACCCTCGCCTCCTGGTCCCGCTTTCTCCCTGCCTCTCAGATCACACCGTCTCCTCCTCTGCCTGTCCTTTGACCCTCTCCCCTCTGCCTTCTACGCGCTCTCCTTGAGCGACATCTACACCTTAGCTTTAACTGCGGCATGTGTGCTTGCTGACCCTAAAACCTGCCTCTTGGGCCCACACCTCCCTCCTGAACGCCCCAAGCCATCAGGCCCAACAAGGCGAGCAGTCCATCGGTGTCCTTTCTCCTAAGGAACAGTGTCCACCTCCCTACGCCTCACTCAGAACCTTTGGGTCTCCGGACTCCGGCCCCAGGCCCATCGCCATGTCCCACTGCGCAGTGGACTCCCGAGGCTGCCCTGCCCTGGGCCCACCCGTCCTGGTCTCTGCACCATCACTGTGCCGGGTCCTCCCCCTCACTGGGAACTGCGCCCGCCGGCGGGTTCTGACTCTGTCTCCAGTTCAGCCAGTCCATCTCCCGCGACCCCACCATCAGCAGCATGCATTCGCTGCTGCAGGCCCCTCAACCCCTTCAGCAGCTACACTCACTCTCAGGGTCCACACCCTTCACAGCCTCCCTTCCCGCCACCCCTGCCTGGAGGCTGGGTCCAGTCCTACTGTGTGCAAGGGACCGATTCACGTGTCTTCACCCCTGCCTAGGATGCTCTTTCTACCTGGGTGCCCCATCTGTGTGCCCAGGCGAGCTTCCCGTGCCTTCCCCAGCCCACCCACACCTGCTTCCCTGAGTTGCGCTCTGCTCCTGGCTTCGGTGTTACTCTGTAAGAACTCTCAGGTGCTTTCATCCCGCGAGTCATCAGGGGATGTGAACACCTGCTCACTCATGACCTCACAAGGGGACAGTCCCTGTTGTGGCTGCCTTTGTGTCATCAATGCCTGGCACACAGACTCTTCAATGAATCACCATTTTTAATAGGGACATAGTATTTCAGATTATAAATAGATGAGTCATGCTTTAGTTAACCTATCCCAAATATCAGATGTGCTGTTTGCTTCACTTTTTGGAGTCACTAACGTTTATTTTTCAAAATGAAGAAGACCCTTGAGTGTTTGTCCTCTTCTTTTTTCTTTCTTTTTGGCTGCACTGGGCAGCATGTGGGATCTTAGTTCCCCCAGCAGGGATCGAACTCATGTCCCCTTCAGTGGAACACAGAGTCTTAACTCCTGGACCACCAGGGAAGTCTCTTCTTTTTTATTTTAAGAACAGTATGACTTTTTTTGTAAAAGAAAATTCAGGCAATACAGAAAGGCTTGAAAACAAGGTAAATATCGTGCATGATCCCATCATCGAAAGACAGTCTTTCTCATCAGGCTGATGCGTCTTCTAGGCTGTTTTCCATGCACTCCATTATCTCCACATTTAAAAACCAAAACTGAGACACATTGCACATGCTGTTCTATAAGCAGCTTAAGTGTGTCTTGAACATTCTATGTCATTAGCTATTCATGTATCATTTTGAATGACTATATACACATGACAGTTTGTTTAATAAATCCTCTCTCTTTAGATGTTCTAAATGTTATCAAGGTGCTGTGAATCTTCCTGTAGATGTGTTTTTGTACCCATATCTGTTTATTTTCTTAAAATACAGTTCTTGACATAGACCGTTGCCGAGGCGGAAGGGGTTGGGAGAAATACAGACTGAGAGTTAGAATTACTGTATGTTAGCTATTATACATAGGCTGGATAAGCAACGAGGTTCTGTGTAGCAGAAGGAACTGTATTCAATATCCTATTAAGAGATGATAAACCATAATGAAAAAGTATATTTTTAAAAGATTGTGTGTGTGTATATATATATATATATATGTATATATCTACATACACACATATGTGTGAATGTATATACATGAAAAGAAGAAAGTGGAAGTGTTAGTCACTCAGCCATGTGCAACTCTTTGCAAACCCATGGACTGTCGCCCACCAGACTCCTCTCTCCTTAGAATTCTCCAGGCAAGAATAATGGAGTGGATTGTCATTCCCTTCTCCAGCAGATCCTCCCAACCCAGGGATTGAACCTGGGTCTCCTGCACTGCAGGCAGATATATAGATATAGATATAAAACTGAATTGCTTTTTTTGTACAGCAGAAATTAACACAATATTGTAAAACAGCTATCAGTTCAGTTCAGTTCATTTCAGTCTCTCAGTCGTGTCCGATTCTTTGCCACCCCATGATTCGCAGCACGCCAGGCCTCCCTGCCCATCACCAACTCCCGGAGTTCACTCAAACTCATGTCCATCGAGTCGGTGATGCCATCCAGCCATCTCATCCTCTGTCATCCCCTCCTCCTCCTGCCCCCAATCCCTCCCAGCATCAGGGTCTTTTCCAATGAGTCAACTCTTCGCATGAGATGGCCAAAGTATTGGAGTTTCAGCTACAGGGAGCTAAAATAAAAGTTGCTCAATTTCAGCTCAATCCTCCCTAGCTGTTAAGATGATAGCTACCACACGTGAGAACTTTATCAATGAAGGGACATCTGTCTCAGGGGAACTTCTTTGTGTGATTCCTACATCAATGGGAAAAACATTTCCTTGACTTATTTCCTCGCACTTCAGACTTGAGTTTAAAGGATGGATAGGATCTGTAAGGTGAAGAAAGGCGAATGAGCATGCCACACCAGAGAAACAGGCTGACCATCGTGGGAAACAGTATGACTCAATAAGCACATTTCTTTGATGCAAATAGAAGCTACTCAATTTCAGCTTAATCATCCCTTCATAGTTGGGGGCAAAGGGGTCGGGATGTGAATGGTCACAAACAATGAGCACAGGTGCTCCATGAAATTACTCATCAGAAAGAATTTCTTCCTTTCCACACTTGACCTCAGCCAGCCAGGTTTTGAGGGTTTGAGTGAATGCCTACCCCCACAAAAGGGACTTGGACCAGGCCCAAAAGATCAGTTTCCCGCTTGAATGGACCTATCCCTGGGTNTCAAGCTGGTTTTAGAAAAGGCAGAGGAACCAGAGATCAAATTGCCAACATCTGCTGGATCATAGAAAAAGCAAGAGAGTTCCAGAAAAACATCAACTTCTGCTTTATTGACTATGCCAAAACCTTTGACTGTGGGTCACAATAAACTGTGGAAGAGCAACTATCCTTCAATAAAAAATATTAAAACTGGAAACAGTATGCAGGCCTCGAAGCTGAATTGTTGGGTTGGATACTTGCACTTTTTTAATGCTCTTGCCCAGGTGTTCTCCAGGAGGCTGTGCTATGTCATACTTCGAACAGCAGCATAAGGCAGCTCCAGTCCCCCTACCATGACCAGTACTGGGTATTACCGTGTGTTTCCTCTTCTTCAGTCCTGGATGGGGTGGAAGGGTTATATTTCTATCCTCTTTGAGAGAATACCGAGCAGATTTGAGGCCACCAACTGTCAGATAATCACACGGTAGATGCTTAGTAAGCATTTTACGGATGACGAATGGTGAGTGAAGGCAAGTTCATGGTGGGCACATAGCACCTGGGATACTGGACTTGGGTCAGAGATGCAGGGTTCAATTCCTGGTTCCAGGAATTCCCTGGTGGTCCACGGTTAAAACTCCATGCTTTTACTGCTGAGAACCTGCATTCAACCCCTGGTCGGGGAGCTAAGAGACTACAAGCCAAGCGTCCAAAAAACAAACAAAGCTACAAAAACACTTCCAAAAATCTGGTTCCAGGGTTTGTGCAGTCACAGACAAGTCACTGAACTTGATTCAATCACAGTTTACTCAGTTGTGAATTGGAGAGCGTAATTCTTACTTGATGTGATTTTTGTGAAGTTAATGAGATACTGTGCTTTAAAACAATGCGAAGAAAATTTTGGAAGTAATACTTACATGTGATAAAATTCTCAAATAGTCCAGCAAGCTGTGCTATAGAAAGTCTCCTCCTTCCCTCCGGTCTCCCTCTCCCATCCCAGACACAACACAGGTTTACTTTGTGACCTTCCTGAGAGTCTGGCCCCGCCCCACCCTCACGGGATAACTAATTAAATACATTGTTACATGTCTGCTTTTCCCACTTAATCTGGTCCACAGCTACCCCGCTGCTCTTCACTGGTGTAGTCTATTTAACCACTTCTTTGTGAGCAGCCATGTAGACCTGGTGCTTAAGAACACACGCTCTGGGATCAAACTGCTCAGTCTGAGTACCATTCAAACATACCAGCTGGGACACCTTGAGTAACTGGCCTTAGTTCTCTGCTCCTTGGTTTTCTCATCAATAAAATAGGGCTGATACAGACCCACCTCTAAAAGCGGCTGTGCAGATTTAGAGTCTGCATATGTAGAATACTAACAACATCTGGCACATAGTGATCCCTCAGTAATGTGACTTACTTTTACATTTGTTTCCAGTCTTTTATTATTTTCAAAAAAATATTCTGCAATGATCATCCTTGTGCCAATCCCCTCCCCCGCAAAGAACCAACAAGCTCAGGGTACAGGGGTGCCCGTCCTGTGGGCGCACATGGATGGAAGGCCTGTTTCCACTCAGGACACAGAAGGCCCCAAAGGGCTGGCTCAGCCCCAACAACAACAACAACAGAGATAAACTTCAGAATCAGGGAGCTGAGGTCACAAGACAACCAGGGAGCCTGGAGCCCAAAGAAAGACAGGCCCCCCGATCCAAGGGCAGTGAGCCAAGATAGACTCACCTGAGGCAGTGGTGGGGTACAGTCCAGGAGATGAGAATTTTGTGAATATGTGTAACAATATGTGTGACGAATCTGAAGGCAGAGGGAGGGCTCCTGAGACAGCACTCCCTGGAGTCATGTCTTGTGGACTAGATCCTCAGGCCTCCGCACGGATCAGGAGAAAGACGATCGGGTGAGAGGTGGAGGGGGCTCCACCTCTCCCTCCCCCTCCCGCGGGGGAGCCCTCCTCCTGGGGGAGGGCAGGAACCCCCCCAGACCTGCCCCTAGGAGCAGGGGTGGAGGGATCGGAGGGGAGAGGAGGGGCCGAGAGCCTGCAGGTGCTGGGGGGATGCAGGGAGCAGGGGGGAGGCCAGTGGCCCCTGACAACAGTGGGCCTGTAGGGGAGACGGGCCCCTCGTGCCAGGCAGAGTCTGGAGACAGCGCTGGTCCTCACAGCTGGGGGTGGGGGGCCGTGCGCTGAGGGCCCCGGGCGGGCTGGGCCGGGGATGCTGCCGAAGCTGCGCAGAGCACCAAGGGCCCACCCTGAGCAGCCGGCCAGCCCGAATGCCAGCGGTGTCCAGCACCGAGGCCTGCACATCACAGGCTTGCCAGGGGCGGAGGAGTGTCACAGACACAGCTTGGCAGCCATGGGCTGGGGGCCATGATCACTGAGAAATTCCTACCCTGGAGGCCCAGGTCTACAGTGGGGTCTGCCCAGGAGGAGCTGGACCAGGATGTGGGGACGTCCTGAACCCAGACCCCCGGCCACTGGACAGCAGGATGAAGATGAAGCTGTCTACATGGCGCAGAGCCAGACAGAGGCCTTCCGAGGTTGAGGCACAGAGGGACGGGGAGAAAGGCTGATGCCGGAGGAGTAAGGGGCTGGGGCAACTGACCAACCCCACTGCAGCGCAGAACTCAGACCGACCTGAACCCCTGCCCAGACAGACTCAGCACCCTGGGCGCCCGTGCACACACACACACCCCTGCACACACACACACACTTGTACACATACACACAGCCTAGTAGAAGAGGCACACACATAACCAGCCATATGTACTGTTTATCTCAGTCTCTACTGTTCTACACGGGTGTCCCTTGGACACCTAAGTGATCAAACCAGTCCATCCTAAAGGAAATCAACCCTGAATGTTCACTGGAAAGACTGATGCTGAAACTGAAG